TCTGCATTCTCAATTATGGCAGCAACGAATACCAGGGTTATGTCATCATGACATGAAGACATAACTAGTAAGAATATGCAAAAAGAATGTTGGACTTAAGTTCTAAAATTTCTTACAAAAGGGAAAATATTATCAAAGCCTTAAATTAATCTTGTTTTTGCTAGGTTTTTCTTTTTCAAGGACTATCTTATGGATTCTTTTGGTACTAAGAATAGAAGATTATATCTACCTAATTGATCATGTTGCAAATAAATAATAAAATTTAAATTCTTGCAGTACTAAGTATAGAAGGTGAAGATTGGACCTAGTTGATCATTCAACCAGTAAATTTAAAACTTAAACTTCTTTTAGTATTAGGTATAGAAGGTCAACATTGACCTAGTTGATGGTGCGACAAGTGTGTGCTAAAACTTGAATTATTTGTTCTCGATTTTTTTTAAAATTTTTTTTCTTTCTAATGAAAAATTACTTCGTGGCTAGCCTCAGTATATCTAGGCCACCATTTGTTCTACTTTCTGTAGGATTAGAGGTAAGTGGTTGGAGATCTTGTGTATTTTGCTTAAAGTCATTTTTTTCTTAGTGGGAAAGACTTGAAGATGTTATAGATATTTTCACCAATTACTTGTTACAATACTTGTGGCAAACTCTAGGTGCCTTGTGAACACAAAGTTTTCCTTTTTGACTACCATCTGATTAGTTTCTAAAACGACAATGTGTAGGTAGAATGATATGTAGCTGGATATGCAGCTGTGCTCGGCTTAGGTTTCCATGGAGGCTGTTGCATCATACGGTTAAGATTCTCTCCCTCGAGAAACGGAAATGTCATTTATTCCTAAGTCTTTGAATGCTGCCAAATTAATGAAACATGAATGCACATGCGATGGGGATCATTAAATATAACTTTCTATAGGGATGTCATGTGGGGGTCTATTTTATCGGATCTTGCTTTACCCTTTTGACTTTTGACTCCTTATCATATGGGCTGGCTCATCTCTCCTTGATAGTTTAAAAAGATTGATTAGTCACTGTTGGCATGTGAATGAATCTATGCATGTGACTTGAGAAATAAAGGTTTTACTAATGTTACTGCATGATGCAAATGGCTGCATTGATTCATTAAAGTACTTTATAATATACTTGTTTCCGTATTCAAACTTATAGGATGCTGTACTTGTTTGTCATATCCATTTTAGTTAGGAACTCATCTGTCTACTGACATTGACAAGAGGACTGTGAAGCTGTCCATCCGTATTGTACTCATCATTGATCTTACTTCTGGTAATCTGCCATATATATCTAAACGATGGCGAGCTATCCGGATTGATATTGGAAATTTTTTTTTTTTATAGTCATCATGGATGGATCTGGTTCTCTCTCTGCCAGAGCCTATTCATCAAAAATTATCTTCTATTTTGTTGTCAATTTAGCATTTAATATTTTAAGAATTGTTTCTGTAGAATAATTGAAAACGTACAAATGGGAGGTTCTATTTATGAATCATATCAGATCTGTAATTAATATAATTGCACCTTCGCATAGGTGATGTTGGATAGTCTAATTATTTGCTAAGAAAGAGATGGGAGTTGAGGGGATTCCTTTCATCAGCTCTTTCTTTATAATTTATCATATGTTCTCTGCATTTTTTATGCCATTAAGAATTTCATTTCATAGTTGGAACAAGTGATTTTTTTGGGTAGAATTCATTCTAACATCTTTACTTTTGTGAAGTCATTTCCATTTAGAGCCTCAATTGTTTTAGAATACCCTCATTTGTTTTACGAACATAGGAATTAAACAAATAAACTAACTTGTCTTTCAGACCATGATAGTTAAAACTGCATTATCTTACTTCACCAAGGTTCCATTTGGTTTAAGCATATTAAATTCTCATTTAACTTTTATATTTTAACAATTGGATATGTAAAAAGTAATCATTTACATAGCTGATGCATTATTGAATAAGTTCCTCTCATATGTTCAATTTTATAATGATAGATTTATATTCCCATTCGTCCAAGAAAGAATTGCAAAAATAGTTAACTCGACTTGAATATAAAATTGACTCACAACTAGAATATTATTTTCATCTAAATTTCTATATTATTTACGTTGTGATCATTTTCTTATCCATGAAATTGAAATTTGAATCAGACTAAACTTATAGTTTATTTGGGTTGCATTTTGTATGTTCTCTCATGTTTAAAATGAGAAATATTGAAAAGTATAATTTATGTTACTCTCTCTCTAGACTTTCTCTCTCTTCCTTTTTCAAAATAAGTAAAAATATTCAAATAAATTTTACAAAAATAGCTTTTTGTTCCAGACATACCTTTACAGTTTTTCTCCTCCCCCTACCCCTCCCTCTCTTGGCCCTTTCCATTGTCTTTATGTTATTGCAATGCGATTATGAAAGAACCCTCTTAAACTCTTTTTAATTTTTCTGTTTTTACAGAGTTAAGCTAGTAGTCAATAACAAATCTTCTGATTATATTTGCGTCACAAATGCTTGTCCAAGAACTAAAAATTAATGCATTTTGTAAATTTGGTTCAAGAACTATTTTGAGAGTTTGATGCTACTGAAAAACAATTCAAAATTTTATAACTAAATTCTTTAATCTCGATTAGATGAGCGGGGTGAAGATGTACATGGTACTCCTAGAATAGTTAAATGCTTGTCCATCACTTTAAGAAAGCAGTGATACCCTGAAGAAAAGGATAGAAAACTAGTGGCTTCCTGAGTTGTATATGAGGCTCTAGACCTGGTCAGCTAGTATCTTTTCAGTTCTTATGCTTATACAACATTTTCCAAATCTGTTTCTTTTATGTTGGTGTGGAATAACTGATTTGACAGTAAGGTTAATATGAAGAGATAAAAGTTAACTAATCTGTATATTAGGAGAGACTTTTACCATGCACGATTCTCTGCTGGGAAAAAATTAGTTTGCTTTTACACCTGCCTGGGTCAAACAACATCCAATTTTCATTATCAGAAACAAAGATGGAGTTATGACAAGAATCATTAGTTTCATTGTCAAAAATTCTGTTGTATTTTTCATTGATTCTTGATTGGTCTGTTCTACATCAAATTATTAAGCATCTCTCTCTTTCTCTCTGTCATACATGATACATGTCCTCATCTAAGGGAACAAAAAGCTTCTTCGGGAGGGGGAAGGGGAGGGGGAGGGGGAGACGAAACGGGGTATTCCCCCCTGAATCATCCTA